ACTATGTCAAAATTATCTGCCTAATTTTTTATCCGACTTTTGAATAATATTTCACACGATCAGTGCAAGTTTAGAAACGTGAAATATCATTTCAAACAGTCGTTTTCAATACTTTCTAAACAATTAATTTCAATTAATGATTCTCGTTCGTATGTTTTTCGAATATATTTGCCGATGCATCGCTGCGAAATGAAATAAATTTTGCACGACTGCAATGCGTCAATGCGCGTAGTCTAATAATTGTAACTGTGGTGTGTCTCGTTATAATTCCAAGAAAATTTTTTCAAACGTTTTACACAAGTATAAACCGCTCGAGGCTTTCTACGATAAATCTTCAAATACTTTCATATATTTGAATTCACACTGTGTCGTTTGAAAAGCAGAGAAAGGAGAAGAACGTGATTTAAACAATTATCAGTTTCAATACTTCTCTTACTCGAAATGCACCGTGTCAATTATCAACGCCACCTGTGGTTGGTTACGTACCTGTGTTTTCCAGGGTAACGAAATCTCCTCGCCAAGATCGCCGAGGGCTTTTCTTTCATCCTCCGCCATTGGCCTCCTTCCGTCACTTTTCTCGATTGCTTTTTGCCCTGTTCCATCATCCTCCTGCCCGGCGTTCTCCACCACTTCTTCGTCCGATGACGAGGACGCGGAGGAGCTGCCGGAGGATGAGGATCTGCCCGACTTTTTCTTCCTCTCCAGGTTGAGCTTGAACCGTGGATCAGGCCGGCATAAGGGGTTTCGCGTGGTGAATGATCAAATAGTGGATGGGACCGATATTATTCGAAGCACGAATTCTGTATCAGACCTTGACAAAACTAGTTCTTACCAGTTCGTTGCTCGTGCAGACAAGCGTGGTCGTCGTGGCTTCTTCTTCGTCCTCCTTATTCGTCTTCTTCTTATCCTCAGCCTCCTTTTCGGACGTCCCGACCGGTTTGCACAGCTTCCTTTTGTTTATCAGGGCTTTCGAGGGCGGGCGCAGGTCCGCAAGTAAATAGAGATCCAACGGATAACAGATTAGATAGGTTTGCAGACTACGGTGGAACGGAGAGTTTGTAACGAGCTTGTCCGGTGTCAGGTGATATTCGTGTCGTCGTGCGAACCGTGTTGCACGATTTCGCTCATTATTGCACGAAATTGAGTCTCGTTCAGAGATCATGGTCAACTTCGTGAAGTTAAAATGTGCAGGAAAGTGACAATTAAAAGCACTAGTATTTCTTCATTTCCCTTAGAATTTACGATCATTTGTGATATCTTTCTACCGAGATATCATCAAACGAAGATATAAACTGTATTAATTGAAAAATTTCGGATGGTAATGTTATTTTTGTAGTAATGGTAAAGAAAGATTAAATGACGACGTTTCTTACCGAAACAAGTAAATTATATTAAATTACCAAGCGTAAAAAATATATTCTTGTTGTTATTATTATTATCCTTTTTGTATAAAGAAATCTTATAAGAAACATAATCAATATTCTGGAAATCATTTAATTTCACCTAACAAATCAATTGAAATTATCCAAAATTAAAAATCTCCTTCTGTCTCAAATTTGTACGAAATTTGACAGCCGTGTATGTACACTTTTGTGACTTTAAACACCGTCATTCAGTTTTAAAAGGAAGACTGCGAAGACGATGGCCGAGTGTTCAAGGTCCGGAAAGCATCTTTCGTGCAGAAATGAAAAAGTTGGAAAAAAAAAATCGAGCGCGAACGTTTCGTTGAGGAGCCAAACAAGTCCTATACATCATCTACCTTTCGATTTTTACTCACCTTGCACGCTATCATTGATTTTCTTCTGCTCCGCCTCGATCCAGCGTTTCCTCTCAGCTGCTTCTTCTTCGGGTCCTCCTTGCATCCTGCCTTCGTAACAGTTTCGTTAGCTTGTAATGCACTACATCGACTCTAATATTAAACTTCTACACAGTTTCATTCCCTCTTGCAAAATTGTTACAGTGAGATTGACTTTTATTCATTTACAATGTCGAAAAAAATTATTAATTACGATTATGTTTATGTTAATCGTGACTTGATGAATGACTTACCAAGCTTCTGCACAGGCACGATCTCTTGGGAATACTGGCCTGTCATCTAGGTACTTGAGGTTTTTACATTTCAGGATCATAGTTTTACGATACAATCGGATCTTCTTTAAAATCGGGTTGCCCATCAAAGATACCACACGTAGTTCTTTCATGTCACCTAGAATCTATGTGAAAAAAGTTCATAGTTTATTTTTGTAGACTGACTATTTATTGCTACAATAACATTCGTAATTAATTCTTTAGATTCTTTCTACATTTAAAAAAAAAATATGTGTGTGTGTATGTAGAAAGATTGGAAATTTATTTTTTTAGATCTCTAGTTACAAATATTCTAGATTCCTTTACACATTCTCATGATTCATATAGAAAAGTTCACAACCTAGTTTCAGAGATCCCTGAATAGTTTTCCAACTATTTATAGAAAAACAATTATTTTATCGATTTCTATAATTCTGAAATCTATGGAAGAAAATTCGTGATTAATTCATGATTTGATTCCTTTCTTTTTTAAATCTGTATAAAAAGATTACCAAATTTATTTTGTCAATTTTTTCTACTTTGGAATCTATATAATCTAAATAATGCAATTAATTTTTTCTAGATTATTGACACTCCTTATTTTATTTATATACACATAAAAATTCAACGTTTAGCTGCCCAATTTCCTATAATTTATACAAAAATCTATTCGTCTCATTATTCATAAATTTTGCGCGAGATGTGGCCAATCACAAAATTACAATTTGTAATTTTTGTCTTGAATAGTTCCAAAATATATACACTATCGTCGAAAAATATCTGGACATTTTCTTATTTTTGACAAGATGTCTTTCATTTATAAAACTGCAATATTTTATGATTCACAAGTTAGATTAAGAAATTTGTTCTAAACAGAGAGGTCCAAGTAACGATATTTACATAATAAATGTAACAAATGTAAAACATTATAGGTCATTATTATATACATTTTAATAAGTAATTTAAATTTACATTCTATCTAATGCAATGATCACCTGTTCCAATTACTAATGCTGATTTACTAAATTTATATATCGTTACTGCAAATCAACTAAAGCGTACGAATATTTACAAACAATAATGTATGTAAAAAAAAAAAAAAGAAAAAAGAAAGAAAGTAATTACTTGAAATCGGTTGCGTTACAAAACATGCGACACCACTTTCGTAAAAACATTAAATTACATCACTGGCGTCTCACGAACACCTGGAGCCAGCCATCGAAGTGGTCATCGACGCCAGAGGCACACGATTAAGGAAAGATAACGGACTCACATTAACGACTTCGTCGGTGTCTATCCTGTTGTGAGAAATATCCAGTACCGAGAGGCTGTCCAGCAGTCGGAGATGCTCAATGTCACCGGTATCTTGTAAGTAGTTGTGCGACAGGTTTAGAGTATTCAGGAACTTGAGGCTATCTAAAAGCAGAGGCACGTCAAGGTCAAGGTCATCAAGGATACCAGCGACGAATCGAGTCACCGAGATTCTCGATCCTCCGTATAGTGTTGTACGAGAGGTTCAACGTGTCCAATTTCGTCAGCCACTCGAGATTCTCGATTTTGCTGATCAAATTGTTGTGAAGATACAGACACTTTAATTCCCTCTGATTCTCCAGGTTCGAGATCTCACGGATACCGTTGTTCTCCAGCCATAGACACTTCAGGCCTGTGTACTTCTCTAGGTTCTCGATGAAAGAGAAACCTAAAAAGGAGGA